AAATCTCTGTTTGTGGAAAAGCGTCCGTGGCCAATCTAGACGCGGTTTTGCGCAAGAAAGCCCCAATCGTCATTTTCGCCATCGGGGCTTTTTTGCACAAAACAAATCTGAGCTGTCTACACTGGCCCTTTTGCACAAAAGTTTTGCGCAAAAGGGACTTTTGCCCGAATGGGAGCAGCATAGTATTTCCACAAGAAGCACTGAATTCTCACAGTAGGAAGTCAGTGCTTTTGCGGAAATTCAAGCGGCCAGTGTAGACAGCTGGCAAGTTTTTCCAGAAAAGCAGCTGATTTTCCGGAAAAACTGGCCAGTCTAGACACAGCCCTAGGGAAAGTTTTCCCTAACATCCAACTCCCAACACCCTGCCCTCCAGGGGGCATGCAAACTGCACCCATGGGGAACCCCCCACTGCACCCTGTCCCCACAGAGACCCCCCCTGCCCCTCCCTCCTTGGGGAACCTTGACCCCCAGGGAAAGCCCTCCCACTCTGCACCTGTCGGGACTCCCCCACACACCTTGATCCTCCCACCCTCGCACCCTTGGGACGACTCTCCCGCTGCATCTTGTGGCCCTGGGGAGGCCCCCACCCCCTTGCTCACCAGGATGGGGCTCCAGCAGATGCAGGAGACGACCATGATGCCCACCAGCTGCACCACCATCTCGATGTCGTGGGGCTTGGCGCGCCGCTGCCCGCACTTGCGCTGGGCCCGCAGCTGCCCCCGCACCAGGCAGAGCCCACTCAGGGTGTTGCAGACCAAGGCGGCCAGCAGGGAGGCCAGGCCCAGCAGAGAGAAGAGCAGGGCGAAGGTCACCTCGGGCCAGCCCTCCGCCGGCTGCACCTTGATGAAGCACCAGGTGCAGGGGTGCTGGATGGTGTAGCTCCCGAAGCTGAAGATGGGCAGCAGGGCGATGGCCAGGGCGGAGGCCCAGAGCCCCAGCAGGGTGAGTTTGGTCCGGACGGAGGTGACCAGCGAGGCGTGGAGCAAGGGGCGTGTCACCCCCACGCAGCGCCCAGGCCGAAGAACACCATGCAGGCTCCGAAGAACTGGCAGATGGCGCCGGTGCCGTCCATGGCGTCCCAGTTCAGCTGGGTGGCGTAGAGCCGCAGCACGAAGGCGCCCGGGATGACGTGCCCGGCGAAGTCCGTGATGACCAGGCTGCTGGCGAAGAGCAGGAAGGTGGCCTTGGAGCGGCGCCGGAAGCGGGCGTAGGACTGCGCCAGGATGGCCAGGGCCACCACGTTGGAGACGGCGCCCAGCGTCATGGAGAAGATGGGCACGGCCGGCGAGGGCGTGCGCAGCTCCAGTGGCTCCGCCTGCCCCCTCCAGGAGCTGCCCAGGAGCAAGCTGCCGACGGGCACCCGGAGGGGCGCCCCCGGGCTGGCCG